AAACCATACAGCAGCAATCTATAAACTTATCGTCCATCCTTTCACCCTCCCAAACATCTTATCATCCAATCATCCACAAAGCTATCTATCCAATCAGTCATTCATCCAAGTGGCATTAATCTTTCCATCAATCTGAAAAACCAGCCAGCCACTCATCTATTCAATCATCCAAAAAGTTTTCGTCTGATGAACATTCCATCCATGCAATCAGCCATCCATCCATCTAACCTGTTACTCCCGGGTATCCATTCACCAAAAAATTGATCGGCTAGCTCTCCAACCAGACGTCCAGCCATCAGTTACTTTCTCGTCCACCAAGCTATCCATCCATTCAGACACCTAAAATCCAGTCTCCAATCCATCCAGCTAATTTCTTAGCCATTCAACCACGCATGGTTCAACTCTGCCAACCATCCATCCTCCGAGCCAACTATCCATTCAGTCATTTATCAAGCTATTCAGCCAAGCATTCATCAATCCTGTCATCCATCCATCTAGCTGTGCATCATCTAGCCGACCAGTATCTATCCAGCAAAATATTCGTCCAAACACCCTTTTAACCATTCTTCTATCAGTCTAAGATCAGCCCAGAAATTCAGCCATCCATCCAACCATCGATTCATTCATTTATCTAGCCAGCCCTCCGTCCATCAAACAATCCATGCGTCAAGCCATTCATTCATCAAGCCATCCATCCATCCATCCATCATAAGGCCATCCATCCATCATAAACCACACATCCATCAAGTCATAATTCATTCATCAATTTTTCATGCGTATATGAAGCCATTATCCATCTAACCAACCAGCTATCCATCAGTCAGATCGATCCTGCCTTCCGGCTATGTAGCCATCTATTCAACTAACCGTTCATTCAAGTGTTCATATTTTCAGCCATCCATTCATTCAATCAGGTTTTGTTCCAAACAGCCACTCATCAAACCGTCTATTCATACAGTCTTCTTTCCGTTGGTAGATCTAGCTATCCCTCCGTACATCTTTCCAACCAACACACCATTCAAAGTTTCAACTTTTGTTCCGCTGAAAAAAGGTGTCACTACAAATAGATATGGCTATTTATAAATAATATTGGCTTAATCTATGAGTTTCCAAAGTACCTATCCTTACTACCGTACTTTGAATTCAGGTACTTTACAGCAATTGAGTTATCTTTTTCTTACTTTAAACAATAACACTTTCACCACCTAATCCATTAATGGGGTTGTGTATTTAGAAATAAGAAAAAGTATGCCTGTAGATTTTAATTTAGGTATGTCAGAAAGTATGTTAGAAAGTATCTGTATTATTATATAAGTCAGGCAGTAAATGGCTTAGCAGGTAATTAAGTAGTTATAGGTATATTGATTTAGGTGAAGTTAAGTTATTTTAGGTAGAAAAAAAAGAGAAGTAATTTAATGTAAAATTAGGAAAGTAAGTAGCAGTATGTAAAAATGAAAAAGTAAATAAACAGAGCTTAAGTACATCCATTCAAGTACAGACGTTAAAAAAAAGTAAGGATTTAATTGAAAAAAATAAAGACTAATGTTATGTTAAGTAAGTTAATTAAACTAAATTTAAATAAAGAAAACAGGGTGAAAAAAGGTAAAGTGAAGGTTAATTAAAATAAAAAAAAGTAAAGTAAAGTGAGTAAGTTTTTTGTGAGTTTAATTAAATAAAGTAAAACAAAAATTGGGTTAAGTAAACTAAGACTAAATAAAGTAAAGCAAAGCAAAGTAACGTAAATGAAGAAATAAAAGTATAGTTATGTAAGTATAAGACTAACACTAAAGTAAAGGAAGTAAGTTGAAGTGAAGTAAGGTAAAATAATTCAGTAAGATAGCCTGAATTTAAAAATGTTTATGTAAAGTGAAGTAAAAGTGGAAAGTAAGTAAGTAACTAGGCTGAAAGTCAAAAAGTAAATCAGTTTGTAGTAAAAAAGAAGGTAAGTAATTAAGTAAGTAAGTAAGTAAGTAAGTAAGTAAGTAAGTAAGTAAGTAAGTAAGTAAGTAAGTAAGTAAGTAAGTAAGTAAGTAAGTAAGTAAGTAAGTAAGTAAGTAAGTAAGTAAGTAAGTAAGTAAGTAAGTAAGTAAGTAAGTAAGTAAGTAAGTAAGTAAGTAAATAAGTAAGTAATTGAGTAGGTGAGTTGGTAAAGTAAAAGAAAATAAGATGAAGTAAAGTAAAAAGAAGTAAAGTAAAGAGAGAACTCAAAATGCAGTTAAAACATCAAAGTTAATTAGGTGGTGTTGAGTAAAGTTGAACCATGAAAAAATAAAGTGAATTAAAAAAAAAGAAGCAATTTTAAGCAAAGTAAAGTGTTGTATGGTTGTTGTTTTGCTTGTCTGTATGTATCCAAGTATGTGTGTGTGTTTGTATGCAGCTATGATTGTATGTTAAGTTAGTATATAAAAAAGTGTGTTGATCAGTTAGTTTTTAAGTTTTATGTTAGATGAAAGTATGATATTAGGTATATTCAAGTAAAGTAATGTGAAGTAAAGATAAGTAAAGTAAAATAAATCAAAGCGTGACAGTAATCAAGAAGAAGGGAAAAAACGCAACGTGAAAAAAAAATGAATCAAAAGTAAATAGAAAGTAAAATTTAAAAGTTAGGTAGAGGAAGTAAACAAAGTGAGGAAATAGTTGATTAAAAAAGAATAAGTGAAGGACAAGTAAGCCAGAAAATAAGTTGGTAATTAAATCATTTGATAAATGATAAATAGGCAAACCAGAAAGTTAGCCAGTATTCCATGAATTACTGAGCGGCTCAATTGAACGCTATTCAAACCGTGAAATTGTTCTCAAGTCCATTAACTAAAAAGATACTGCTGAAAAGTTCTCAAAATTCCTGTTAATTAGGTCTTAAAAATCAAGTTATTTTTTTTGGCAGAGGGAAAAAAGTTTATTCGAGATCGATGTCTTGGAGAGATATGGTGGTCTGCATATGACGGAGCTAAAGACTGCCAGTGTTCAAAAGTTAACTGAATAACATTGTGCAGGTAAAATATTCAAGGATAGACTTTTGACTTTTCCAAGTTTTTGAAAAAAAGAAATTTATTCCACTCGAATGTCCCAGATATGTGTGGTTATAATTACCGGGCAACATATAACAACACGTTGGACACTCCTGATAAGTTCATCTTTAAATCCGGCTGCCTCGTGCAAAAACCGTGCAATCATTAAAACTTGGAGTCGTTCAATTATTTTTCCAGGGAACAGTTTTTTATGCCAATTAAGCCGCCACAAGGTCTCAATTTAATTGAAACGTCGCAAATAAAGTTATTAGAACTAACAAAGAATGAGAAAAAGCTCGAAAAAATTTCTGCGTTGAGAACTGTCATAATAAAGATGTTTTAAGGATGTATACATCTCTTGAATTATTATTATATATCAATTCGAGTAACTCTGTTTTTCTCAATTTCAAGGTTTTCTTTCCAACGCCTCTCCAAGCTTATAAATGTCAGCCAGTGGAGATAAAAGATAGCTAGCAGATAATTTTAGAAGTCTAGTTTCCGGCGGTAAAAAACCAAATGAACTACCGGAAACACTTTTCTGTGTAGAAATGCACCATATTTTATCAAAACGCTCGGTGCATTTTTTATGTTCCTTTCCCCTTTTCTTTTTTCCAATCGTCTTTTCCTCATTGAAACTTCCGTCTCCCTCTAGAAAAACACAGCATACTGTTCCTCCCGGTTTGGAATTTTGAATTTTTTTGTTTTGTTGAAAACCCTCTAAATTGTATGAGTTAATTATCAATACCTTAAAAACACTAAGTTCGTTCTAATTTAACTTTTCTCAAATCAAAATTTGACAAATTTATCATTTGCTATAACTTGCCCAGAAACGGCCGCCGCCTTTCAATTTACTGCCTTTTCACCAAAAAGTATAGGTCAAGTTAAGGAATTAGTTTACTGCTGCCAATAGTTAAGCTACGCTGCCAATATCGCCGGCGATTTTTTATTATATACAATAAAAGTCAGTTTCCCGTTCACTAACAAATTTCATTTAGGTCGAAAGTTCATTCACCCGAAACAAATATAACAATTAATATGATTGATTTAATTAACCAGGACCAATAATTGGGACCCCAAAAACTGGAATTAGAAAGATTTTTGTATCGTGCCCCTTGTTGTTAAGCTATGCTTAGCAAGATCCTAAGTAGGGGATCTTCTGCTTTTTGGGTGGAAAGTTTCTTTCGTTTACAAAATCCTAGGATGAGGGCCCTCCAAAAAACTAAGGACCCCTTTCCGGCAATTGTAACGGCAATTTTTTCGAATCAAGCTATTCATGTCATTTATTTGGAAATCTCTTAAACTCACAAGATATTTTGAAAAAAAAACATAGAAATTGACGTGGAGCCAATTAATCCAAAATCAAACTTAAAGTAAGTTCTAGAAACAGTTATAAATTATCCACTAAAATAAAAAAGCATAGATTGACTTACTGACCCCACTGTTCGTTTTGTACAATTTTGGATTAACATAGCTAGTCAAATTAACAGCTTTCAAGCCTCATGAAAAATCACAAAGAGACCCCATCATCTGCAAAACTCAGTTTATTTGTTATCGACATCATGCAAGAAGTAGTCGCGAGTTAGTACTAGCTTTTATAATTTAATTTTTTTTGGAAACATTTTTTCTAAATGCGATTATATTTTGCGATTTTTGATAACATGGATTTCTTTATATTCTGAAATTTCTAAAAAAAATTTTTTCTATATTCTAAAATGGGGTGATTTGACAATTATGAATTGAAGCTAGAACTTTTTTGTGCTAATTTAGCTTTATATAGTGCTCTTTGCTTGTGATTTTTTTTGCTGGTGAGTTTTATTTTGTGGTTTTTGACAGTTTCATCTTTTCGAGAGTTTTTCAACAGAATGTTGCAATGTAAAACGTCCATATTTGCAGCCCCGCCTGAACAAATCATGCAGCATTTTAAAACTACAGCTGTTTAAAGCAATCGTTATAATGTTTTCTTATTTTAGACGAGCCACACATATGTTCACATATGTTAAGTGGTTTTTCGCATTGTTTTGAAGCCAATTTTTTACTAAGACTAAATCAAATTTTTGAAAAGTTGAATATTGTTATTACAGTTTTTGAAGGTTATTTTCCAGAATTATTTTCAACTGAAAGAACATGTCTAGTTTTAAAAAGCTGATTGTTCTTATAAGACTGATTATTTTTCTTCACATTGCCAATTCGACATTCATACCCGAACCTTTCGACATACTTAAATTTGGGCCGGAAAACTCGGACAGCTTTTTGAACAAAAAGGCTGATACTTGCTCATTGGCCCGAAACATATCTCGTTCGGTGAAATTTGGCGCCGACAGATACACGACTCTGTATGTGTGTATGAACGGCATCGTTGCTTTTGGAGAGCCTGTTACTTCCTTCAAACCTGATGAGTTCGATAACTTCACTACACCGGTTCTGGCTCCATTTTTTGGCGATATAGCTGTCAGTGACAGTTTCTTGGATGAAATGTGCTTTGACAGCGCAAGCAGTTACTACGTTGATTTTGTCTACAACGTGGAAACTATTTGTTACCAGTACGCGTATCGACCCCAACCGGATCCGTACGTGGGCATACAATTTTATACTGATTATATGCTCGACTTGGATTTGAAAGCAAAAATTTATGACCATTTTGCGTCAAGGTCAACTTGGAGTGGCCTGACAGTTGATTTTGATGACTATATAACACGGCTGACATTCGGAAAAGATACAACCAAGTACCCAAACTTGGGAAACAATATCATGTACCGTGAAATGACAGTAACAGATTTAGGATCTGTCGATAGTTTCATTCGAAACACGCCCATCAAAGAAGTGCGTATAAATTGGGGTTTTGTGGCCACGTGGTTCAAGGTTAGCCCATTCCCCTCTCGTCTGGACTCATTCAACACATTCCAGGCGTCCCTGTTTTGTACTGCAGCTGATCAGAACAGCGTTGTGGCGGATGGAAATGGTCGATGTTTCGCGCTGTTCGATTTCTTTGAGGTGCAGTGGACCACAACCCGATGGCAAGAAAACCGAAACGCGAGAAGCGGACTCAATGATGGAAACGGTAATATAATAATAGTAATAGCTATATTCCAGCGAACCACAGATACATGGTGGGAGGGGAGATGGGTGCTCTCTTGATAATTCGCCCCACTTATCACCTAAAGGGTCTCCCTTTGGTGCTGTTTTGTAACAACACCATTTTCGAAAAACTAATCATAAAACATTTCTAAAAGCGCTTGTGGTACCAATCCGCATTTGATCTAAGCCTTCCAAAAAAGTCCTATTACGTCTTTTTTGGTCTGTTTTTTAAGAAACTCTGCCCGAGAAAACTCTAGATCCACCTCTGCGCTGTGAAGCTATCGAAAAACTGCTAACCTGCTTAAAAAATGGGCTTGGTTGTTATATTTTCAGATTAAAGTTTTTGTTAATAGAAGCTCAACTTGAGCCAAAAATGTTATCATTTGCCAGTTTTTAATAGCTACTTTATTTGTTCAGGTTTTAAAGTTGAACTACCTTTCTCTGGAACCCCAGAGATGCGCAACTTGTGGGCTCTCTCAAACATCAACATGCCTGGAATGTGGCTATTCGAAATAGGACAAAGTGAAGATGTGCCAAGCATAAGCGATGTCGGGAGCTTCAGCGACTTGGATTCGGATTCACTCGTCAACTGCCCAGATCCAATCTTACCCGCGACAGCCCGCATGTACGAGACGACTACGTTCATAATCAGTAATTGTGTCCTCCCGGCGCATGATCAACTAGAAGCTCGCTTCACTGGTACCGACGAAGGTACACTGATTCATTTGAAGTTTTCAGACTGATTATTTTGATCCCCCTCGCCCACTTTGCTAAGCAAAGAATTTGTGAAACAATTGAGTGGCGAATAGACATGTTTGGGATTGGGTGTTTGGAATCGGGTTCCATGCTTCAGAACGATTGAATTATATGAACATACATTTGACATGTAACTGTTGCAGTAGAGGAATTAGCGGGAGGCGATTGAAAGCTCTGTACTCAGAGACCCCCCCCTCCGATCACCCAAAGGGCACCTCTTCTGGGTTTTATTTTAGTATCTCCTTTTTTAACCAAACAACCATGAAAAGCTTCTAAAGGCGCATTTGGCGCCAATATTCTAGTTTTGAGAGAGAAGAGCGCGCCAAAAAAATTTTTTTTTCGAGAAAACCGTTGCAAATGACGTTTTGGAACCTTATTTCAAACATATGCACAGAATAACAGCAAAATAGGTTCTCTCTAGTGTTTTGGCAGAGAACATTTGAAATGCAGGCAATTGTACAAAAATTAAAAGAATCAAGTGTATACCTAGTTGCTGCGATAGTAGAGCCAAATTTAAGGATAGGACTACTGAAATTGGTGTTTTCAGGTAATAAGGTTTGCACGATTTTTAATGATAACCGAATGCTCGGCTTACACCTTGTGAAAAATCTCCCCCTAAATGGACCTAGTGAACATTTTCCCCCTTAAAGTTACACGGAAGTTCAATCACAAAGATTTGCATGTAATAAGCTCTAATATGATTTGCTGAAAAAAAATTACTTTCAAACAAGTGAACTATATCCTCCCTAAAATGATATAGGGGGCGGAGATTGTTCAATTGGTCCCTCGCTTTTGCAAGATTTCAGATCTTATTAGATATCAGATATAAAATTATCTTCCATAATGCTCTATTGAAGTGATCAAGTATGCGACTAAAACATGTGCTCACTCCATAACTTATAGGTAAAAAGTAATACAAGTGTCATGATAAACTTACATGCTCAGCATGATCCAATTTTGCAGAGCTCATTGATGGCCTTGTTTTTTCATTGAATCTTATATGTTAAATGAAAATCTTAATGCTCTATGGTTGCAATTTTTTTAAACTTTTCTACCTATTCAGTCTATGAAATAACTTGAAATACTTCAACGTTTTGTAGCTTAAATTGCTTTTTAGAAAAACTTTCGCTAACCGATTCGGTCTATGAAGTATTTTGAAATGTTTCAAAGTTTTGTAGGTGGAATAGCTTGCTTATAAGTTAAAAAAAAATTTTGTGCACCAATTCAGTCTATCGAGTAATTCAGTTTCCTAGCTTGCATTGTTCAGAAAAATTTGTGTTTTTGCGAACCGTTTCAAAGTAAGAAATAAAGTTTCAAAGTTTCTTATTTGTGAAATTTTGCTTGAAAAAACTTCAGTTTTTAGCGAACCAATTCTGTCTATGAAGTGTCTTGAAATATTTGATAGATTGGCTAATGGCTAAATTGGCTGGCTAAAAAAATGATTTTTTGGGAACCATTTCGATCTATGAAATAACTAGAATTACTTCAAAGTGTAATTGTTTAAACGGCTTCAATGAAAAAACTTCAATTTTTTTGTCTGAATCGCTTCATGAAATAACTTAAATAATTTACTAATGCGGTAAGCAAGTGTTTTTGCTCAAATATTTGTAGCTGGAACAACTTTCCTGAAAAAAATTGAACTTCCCGCAATCCGGCTCTTTTTCCTTCCCCCCCCTCCACCTCACTCAAACATGAGTTTTATGGTCTAACGAGCGGGCTTACAAGGTTAATTATGGAGACCAAATATGTTTGTCATGGCCTAATTAGTCTACATGCCAATTTTCATGACAATCGAACAAAGTGAACAGTAACTTCAAATATAAAAATTTGCAGGTGGGGGGAAGGAAAAAGAGCCCGCAATCCCATTAGTTTCATGAAATAACTTGAATAATTCAAAGTTTCATAGCTTGTAAAGCTTGCTTAGAAATACTTCAATTTTTGGCGAACCAATTTATCAAACCCCGTTTACGATATGGCTTAACTTGAAGTTGTTCGAAGTTTCATTGCTTGAATAGCTTGATCAGAACAAAAATATTTTGCAATCTTATTGATTAATGGAGACGGGCTTGTTAGTTAAAATGAAACGACAGATTTTGTTTTTCAATTCTGTCGAAGATTTTCAACAGAATGTTGCAATTCAAAATGTCCGCATTTGAAACAGCGCTTCACGCATAAAAAAACTGCGTTTTATTTGTATATTTGATGCTGCATGCTGCATGTTCACATAGTTTTTAAATGGACTTTTTTGGCGGTTATCTTTTAACGTAGAGACTGTTGAGCATAGTTTTGAAAAACATTTTGTTAGCCACGTATTTTGTAGATTTAGATTACATAGACAAAAAAATTTTAAAGCAAAAGTTAAACTAGAAGATACAGCTGCGATGTTTGAGAGCCTGTTTGTTTGTTCATTTAAGGCGGGTCATATTTTTTACATTGTCAAATTTGCATGTAAATTGTCCACGCAACAATTGAAGTCAATCGAAAAAATATCCAGCTATAAAAACAACCACATTTTTGTTTAAAAATTATGTTTGCTGGATTTTTTAAAATTATTTGACGCAATATGTTCATAGTCTTTATACTTTAAATGGTCTTTTTGTGATCAGTCCAAGCCAAATACTTTCTGTAAAGACTGGATTATATTTATAATTAATTTTGAAACAGTTTGTATGACAATCAAATGTGGCTGGAATGGGTATATTTATTTATATAATAACGTCTATTTTGTGTATATATTAAAGTCAACAAAACAAGAACAAGACTGCTCGTATCAGGGCAAAGCCCTGAATGTTCCGACTGCCTTTTAAGGTTTATGGAGCAGTAAAAACATAAAAAAAATTAAATGTAATAAAATAAAAAAAAAAATGTTTTTTTCTTAATTTGAATTTTTTATATGAAGTCATCCCCCCACACGCCATACAAAGTACAAACGAATAGATGTCGCTCATAGTAACAATCAATTATGGCAAATAAGCTTCTTTCAACCAATTTGGAACGATTTCTAAGACGGATTAAATATCCGCTTACGCGTTAATAGCGCGAAACATATCGCGCGTTAATTGCCCCAAATTGGCCAAAATGGCAATCTTTAAACCCCCATAACTTTACAAAAATTGATCACAGGTAAAATATCTTTTCAAATTTAGGCTCAGGACAACAATAGCTTTCAAATGATGTAAAAAAATTCCGCTAAAAATGGCTAGTTAGAAAGTCGAAATTTGTCTGAAGAAAACAAAACTCACCCCGAGCACAAATATTCCGTTACTTTCATATCGAAAGTCGGAACAATAATCAAAATCATCAGATTTTAATTCTACTGAGCTGGGGGGCCAAAAACATGATTCACAATCATGGTCGAACGAGATCACTACATTGGTTAGTGCAATTTAAAGTCAAGCACTCGTCTCAGGGAGTCTATTTCGACAGAAGAAAATTCCAAATAAGAAACAAAAATTAAGTAGATTCTGGGATTTTTTATTTTCAGAAAAAACTTCATCACCCCACAACGAATAAAAACTCACGCACAATCAATATCTAGCAAAAAAACTAAAAATTTGCCCATAGTCTGCTTCAAACAGTAGGAAAAATTTTCAGTTTTGGTCTGGTTTAGACGTTTTTTTTTTTTTTTTTTCAATTTTGGTCATTTTTAACAAAACAAGACACGTAAAAAAAACTTTTTTCTGATTTGAATTTTTTTTCTGTAAAAAGGTTGAAAATTTAGGCGAAATTACTATAGCTTTTATAGGGTATCTAATCTGTATAAGAAATGTATATAATCTGTATAAAATCTGTATCAAAAAATGCACTTAAAAATGGATTTTGGTGACTATCGAGTCGATTGAAATATGTATACCTTGCTATCAATTGCAATTGATTTGATAGTTAAACAAGACTGCTCCTATCAAGGCGAAGCCCTGAATGTTCCGACTGCCTTTTAAGGTTTATGGAGCAGCATTAATAACATAAAAAAATTAAATGAAACAAAAAAAATGAAATTTCTTTTTCTAAAATTTGAAATGTTTTATGAAAATCATCCCCCACACGTCATATAAAGTACAAAAAGATAGATTTCGTTCCTTGTAACAAATCATTTATGGCAAATAAGCTTCGTTCAACCAATTTGGAACGATTTATAAGACGGATTAAATCTCCGCTAAAGCGTTAATAGCGCGAGTTATATCGCGCGTTAATTGTCCCAAATTATTCAAAATGGCCAAAACGGCAATCTTTTAACCCTCACAACGTTACGAAAAATGACCACCGGTGAAATATCTTTTCAAACTTAAGCTCAAGACAACAATATCTTTTGAATGATAAAAAAAATTCCGTCAAAATAGCTAGTTAAAAAAAAAACCCACCCCGAACACAAATATTCCGTTACATTCGTATCGAAAATTGGAACAAAAACTTCATGCATAAATAAACCAGATTGTTGAAATGGGGATTTGATTTTACTTGCGATAATCGATTGCAACCTTATTTTTGTCAAGGCATGAGGATATTTCTTTATAATAATGATTTATCAAACAAAGTGAACATACGTTTACATTTAGTTGTACGGCGCACAGACAATTCGGCCAAAGACAATTCGGCCAAAGACAATTCAGCCAATTTGAATCTGACAATTCAGCCAAAAAAATACAGACCATTCAGCCAGCTTAACAAAACGCTAGATTCGAAAGAAAAAAAATCGAATTGGAGATATTTCTCGGTTTGAAAACTCCAGTGGGCGGGCTGCGCGCGCGTCGCCGCTTCGCGACGATAACCGGCTCTCAATTGTGTATGGAGTCCTACCCTCTGTTGGCAAGCTCGCAACACGTTGGCGCAACTGCCGCGGTCACTATTATTGGCTGAATTGTCTCTGGCTGAATTCTCTGCATACTTTTGGCTGAAATGTCTGAATTTCAAATCGGCTGAATTGTCTTTGACCGAATTTTCTGGAAGCGAGTTGTACG